TATTTTTTGTTAAACTCTCAGAACTACAACTTACTAAAACTATGTTTTAGTAAGAACAAAAACATAAAATAAAAAATTAACTTGATATTCAACTGAAAACACTAAAGATTCATATTTCCTAAGTGTTCTTTACCTTTTAAATTTAGTAAACAATCCCCAAATGATTTTTAGATAAATAGTACTTACTTAAGTTGATTTACAAGGCAAGTGGTGGCCACCTTTCTGTAATTGCAACATAAGGCCACAGCCATTATGTGTACTTACACTAACATTTAAATTCCATACTAATTATGCAGAAAAAGAAAATGTTATAGCATTTATACATAATATATTTAATCTGGCTCTTACAGTATACTCAAGAGAGTTTTGTTAATACAAAAGATGATACATTTCACAAAGCTTATGAATCCTGGTTCAGTCTAAATATAAAGGTTATTCTAAATATTCTTTACGTATCAAGCAGTTGACTTACCATGGAAATCATAAATATACAGAAGAATTGGCTCATTCTGCCCAAATGCACAAAATGCAACCATATTTTCAAATGGATGATACGAAATATCTCGAATAGGTGACTTGAATGGCAGGTCAGAATACATGGCTACTTGTTCTCCTTAAAAAAAAAAAAAAAAAGAGATTCAGTAATCTGTACTGTATCATCAGATGTTTCTCAGTACAAGATTATTCTGTAACTTACTAGAAAATATGTATAGTAACAATGAAGCTCATATTATTTACATGAAAACTTCAAATATTTATAAATGAGTACCATCATATTAAATGATTATCATTATTTCGCATTCTCTTAGCCCTCCTCTTTCTACTTTTCAATTCAACCTCTTCAATGAGGTTTTTAAGGCACAAAATAAAGACAAAGTGCCTGGGGAACCTGCAGCCGTGGGCCCACATGTGGCCTTCCAGATCCTTGAGTGCAGCCTTTTGACTGAATCTAAATTTTACAGAAAAAGTCTTTTTAATAAACGGCTTTGTTCTGCGAAATTTGGATTTGGTTGAGGAGCTGCACTTGGGGATCTGGAGGGCCACACGTGGCCTTGACACCGCAGGTTCCCCACCGAAGTCTGGGATCTGACAGAACAGAGAAAACACCAACTAACGGAAACTCTGGGCAGAACTAGGGGAGGAATTACAGGACTCTAAAACTGAAGAAACTCTCTAGTTTGGGGATTTTTGGTGAGGGATTAACTTTTCAATTT